CTCTCTCTCTCTCTCTCTCTCTCTCTCTCTCTCTCTCTCTCAAATCAAGTGTTATGTTAGCCCAGAAGGATAAACCTCAGATATTTCTAATACATCTGGAACTGCAGAATATCTCATTAACTTCCAATTAGGCCTGATTTTAATTGTTATTTTTTGCTTTGCAGTGATATTTCAGCACAAAGAGAAATGGGCCGAGTGGGAGCTCGGTTGTAACAAACAGAAGGAAAAGGATTAATTTTTCTGGTTGAACAAGAGCAGCTCCTTGTGGTTTGTTTCTCTCTGTACATGTAAAATGAAAGGTGCTGACACTGGACAGATGAACAGGGCCACAGAGGTTTTAAAACAGATTTGATGAATGATTTGCTGCTGACGTTTTAATTTCAATGTAAGTGACTCCACTCCACTTTCTAATCGGTCTTATATTGTACTGTATTTGATTCTTGCTCTTTTTCTTACTTTATATTTGTTAAAGTATCTGTTAAATAACTCTGCCCTTATTGATGAGCAGACCTCTTGTCCAACTCTTTTCATTGTACCGTTGACCTTGTTTATTATAATACAGTAATAGAACTTTTAGTTCAAATTTGAAACAATAAGATGCCTCAAGGTGGGCAATTACAGTTAAACAGCGCCATCTACTGCTGAGAAGTACAAAAACCAGAGGCAGGAAAAAGTATGGAAGTCCTCAACCTGAGTAAAAGTACCAATTCAACAGTGAAATATGGAAATTGAATTCCTACTGATCTAAAAGTACATCAGCAAAAAGTACTAGTACAAGTACAACAAAATATCCCCTGCCATATAATGAAATGTACACAAGTATTAAGTAGCGGATGACTGCACTTATGTTCTATTTACTTTTCACTACAGAAACAGACAAGTGTCGTCCATGTTTCTTTATTTGTCTACCACATCATCTATTTTCAAAACACATTCACCAGAGCATAGAAAAGTCAAATGGGGTCAAAATATTACTGTGTTACTACAATATGAAAAAAGAGAGAAATATTATCAGTGTTGATATATTTACAATCAAGTGTAACTGTGTAAGTCCTGAATGGTATCCAGTTTTTTGCACATTTTTAGAACTTTTGCAATATAAAATACATCAGTATACATACATTGTGTCGTCACTCCTATAAAAAAGCTGGTTAGCAATGGGTGGTTACAGTTAGATTCCAGCCTGATAACCATCCCTTTAAAATAAAAAACCCTGATGTTCCCAGACCCATGAAATGTTAGGCAACAAAAAATGTGTCCGCAGTTGGAAATTCTCCCTCAACCTTACTGGTTATGTTACTATAATAGACCCAATAGAGAAAAACAGACTACAGCAGATATTCTGTATTATCCCAATGTGATTATCTAACACATGACAAGAACCAAAAGCAAGATAAATTAAATAAATGAGTGTGTTTGGTATAAAAATGTAAAGACAATTACACATCGCTCCAACAGCTTTCAAAAGGTAAACAGTTACAGACATGTGGTCACAACAGGTGAGGAATCTGTTGTTTCTCTTGTAAAACAGCAGTAAGTGAAGTAGTGTAAGGAACCTAGTGTAACTCTTGCTTTGAAAATAACCCCTGCCCCACCCATCAGATGAAGAAAACCCTTTATAAACCTCCCCAAATAAGAAAAGCTTGACTGCCTTAGCGATTCATTGCCTCAGTCTTCAAAAAATGTGTAATAGATCCTCTGCAGATAAAACATCGTGTATATTCAATATTTGTGCTTATTCCTCTTTAGCCGGCTGCTCGATTAGTTTACCCTTGTGGTACTTCTGTCCGATCCCGTAGGGCACGTGTGCAGATATGGTTCCCAGTTCCTTGGCGCCCTCGATGTGGAACATCTGGTCGTCAAAGTAGATGTGCGGCCTGATTTTCACCAGCAGGGGCCCTTTAGGAGCGCCTGCCAGGAAGAGGGCCTCGTCAATCTCCAGGCCCCAGCTGCGCAGGGTCTTCAGGACGCGAGCTCCCGAGCTGGCGGCACTGCGGGCCGTGACCAGGTAGGTTCGGATGGGACAGCTCATGCGCTCGTTCTTGGCGTAGAACTTTCTCTGGAGCTTCCCCAGAGCCTCCAGGAAACACTTTAAAGGACCCTGAAACAGTCAGAGGATCAAGTTAACGTAGAAAAGATTTCACCCGAGGTAATGAGGATCGTGAACACAGGTAAATGTTAAGTACAAATGAAGGTTACCTGAGCAAGAGGTTTGTTCTCAAATTCCTTCTCGTGCTCAAAGAAAGTGTCCAGGCCGTGTTTCTTCACAATGATCTCCGACTCGTCAGAGAAGAGGACGGCGTCACCGTCAAACGCCACTCTGAGCTGAGTGTCACTCAGCTGAGTCTCTGTGTCCGGCATAAACATTGTGGCTGCGGCGATTCCTGAGCGAGGGGAGAGGAGTCACTACTTCACCTTTAATTCTATATCTTTTACACACAGTTCAGTCAATACAGTGTCACACATGCTACATCATTTCAGTAAAATCATTATAAATACATCTAAAGTCCATCAAAAAAATATTTAAAGCAAAGGCCGGGATGAATATAAAGACCATGAAAATAGGTTTTCTTCAAATAATCAAAAGACGCTGACGTAAGGAGTTTGTTCCAACTCATCAGTGCATAACTACAGAAAACTGCTTCACCAGGTATTTTGCAGTGCACCGTAAGAAGATTAGAAGATAGTACAGATTTTAAAATACATAAACAAAGGAACAAAGGAACCTTCATCAGGAGGATCTGTTGGTCATCGTATGAACACTGCTGACAAATCACACAATGTCTATCTATATATCTATCTATCTATCTATCTGTCTATCTATCTATCTATCTATCTATCTATCTATGAGGTTGTTCATAAGAACTAGAAAGTGTGAAGCGACATTTTAGAGATTTGTTGCGGATAAATCAGAATTCCACACGTCTCCTGTGAAGATAAGCTGTGACCAAAATGTGTTATAAACAAGTATACGATGCACTGGCTGGTGTGAAGTCTGTCCATGTACAGGTCAGATAGAGTCTCATTTGAAATCCTGACATGCTTCAGGCTGTGTGAACATGCATCACGTGTACTGTATGTGGGCAGCTGTAGGCTTGGACACGTACTATTTTCATTTTCAGATGTAGAATGTGAGTTTTTATCCACAAAAACATGTCAATCAGTAAAATATTTTGTTAAAGCCAAATATATTCAGTTAAAAGTGAACCTGGAACCAACCACTGTTTGCAAATGATTATTTTCCCCCTCACAATGTTGTCATTTGGCCTTTTAAAGATACGTTTATTTCACTGTTTATGCTTCATATCTGTTTCTTCGGTGTGTGTACAGATGGCAGGGGGCCATAAATCATACGCCGTCTTCCTTCTTGCTGCAAAGTGTGCGGTCGAGATTTCTCCAAACAGTGTGAATGAGTCACACGCTAAGTCAACGTGCCAGTTTGTAAATATCATTGAGGTACGGAAACATCTCAGGCTTCTGAGAGACGCTGCGGTCGTGATCTATTTAAGATTCCAAGCGGTTTCGGAGAAGGTCGCGTTTAATAGAAGTTCTGATTATTCATCCACCAGCAGCGGCAGCTTACCTTGCTCGATGGCCTCTGTCACTTTCTCTGAGTCCTTGGAGAGGTACAGGTTGGTCATGTAGGCCTTGAGGTAACCCACTGGACTTTTGCCTCCCGTCATACAGAACCTCTCGATGGTCAAATCTGAAACAATAAAAAACAAGTGGAAAAACCCCATAATTACCCAGCTCTTCTTCATATCTAGAGTTACTAGACTCAAACTGCTCTTGATTAAGCCTGTAGCAAATCTACTATGTTTAGTTTAGCACGAAGTGTACCGTAGTGATTAATGCTGTTGATGAGGCGCACTCCGACTTGTGCATGGTTGTTGGTCATTAAGACGATGTCAAACAGCTCCTCGCTGTCTGGGTAGAGCTCCCTCAGCCGAGAGTTGACGTTCATCAGCGCCTGTGTGACAGGACGCAGAGATTCACAATCAAAAAACAGGGTGTTGTGTCAACACGAGTTGACAAAGGCTGGAACATCGTTACCACATATTTCTTTCAGTATTTCAGAAGCCACAGAGATTCTAAAAAGGGAACAGCGAGGCCTTGACACAACACAGGAACAACAGAGCAGGCGTCTTTGTATGGACATACCAGGTGACTGGTCATATGGACGATATGGCCAAAAATGAAATTAACCATTTTACCATTCAGAAACTGCTTGAAAATAAAAATCAAACAAAGCAATGGTGCAATGGAAATAATCAGTCTTTCACCAGCTTTGCACCAGCAGGTAATGACTTGTTGTATCACTGAGTCATTGCATTAACAGGTGCAATCACTCTTCCGGTGTTGTTCCTTTATTCCAGGGTGAAAGTGCTCATGAATAAGTAGTGTTCTGGTGAACATCACCAGGCCGGCACAGTGGTCGACTCTGAACATCGATCAACCTGTGTGGGAAGTTGTTAAGTACTTTATCCTTCAAAAGCCAGCTTCCTGCTGAGGAACGTTGGAATTTCAGGGCTCGTTTGACAGCATTCAGGAGGAAGGCCAGCAGTTCTGGAGGCCATGATGAGCGTTGAGGTTTTTTAAACAGGTTTCTTTTTTTTTTTTTTGTCCCGCACTGGGGAAGAATTTGCCTTTAAATGCAAACATGTAATAATCAGCGAGGAGGCTCTATGATATGAATAGCTGAATAATATCTGACTTTTACAGATTAAACGGCCTGAAGCTACAGGCACCTGGATGACATCACAGGAGGGTTTTTTTGTTTGTTTGTTTTTGCGTTTGAAGAATTTCCATTTACCTCAATTGTATTGGGACTGAGACTCCAAAAGAGTTTTGTGGACTCAAACACTTTTCACCAACCCCTCCATCGGCATATGGTGAAAAGATGAGGATATCCCTTAAAAGGAAACAACAATAATCTGATTTTATCTGATATGTCTGTGCCAAGAGACAGATTCCTGCTCTTGCACAATATACCGGGGCGTGTCATCCGTAAATTGAGAATAAGAGAAACTACACTCTAGATGTGGATCCAGGACTTGGAACTGGACCTTATCCACTCCACATTGTCAAGTTTGACCCTTTGTTTGTGAGGTGACAGATCAGTTTGTCTGGTATTCACTACGTCAAACAGAGTGACTGGAACTGGGCCCCACCGAGCACACACACCTTGCAAGGGTTCGAGTCTGTGCCAATGTACCTTGACGAAGGGGAACGCAGCTCCGGGTTTCAGGGGCTCGCTCTCATGCTCCACCTGATAAGCCACGTACTTCTCGACCCCGTCCTCCTCGTAGATCGTCCTCTCTGCCACCATGTTGAACAGGGTGCGGGAGGAGACGGCGATGGTGACGGCATACCGCGGTTTGGGCTGGGAGGCAATGGAGGAGAGATAAGAAGACGTCGAATGTGTGGAACTAGACAGACGGAAAGTTCAAGCAGCTTTCCACACAAGTTTGTCCCTGCAGGGAAATACTCACAGGTCTCGGTTTGTTGGTTTTGAGGTTGTCAAAGAAAGCTTTGGCCTCGGCCCAGTCCTTCTCCTCCGCGCTGTCCTCGCTCCCCGCGGGACTCGGAGGCTTTATGTCACTCATGTTTCTGTGGAAAGAGTCGGAGAGTCAGGACTCACCGAGGAGCAAGAGGAGGAAGAGGAGGAAGGAGGTGAAGAGCTGGCAACTTTGCGGAAGTGCAAGCGGAGGATAGACACCCCCCCCCCCCCCCCCAACCGGGGGGCGTGTCAGCGAGGAGTTGTTTGACAACGTAACATAATGGTAGATGACGTCATAAGGTAACCTAACATAATGTAAGATAACGTCATATAACATGAGGTAATCTAACATCATGTAAGATTACATGACAACGTAAAGTAACATAATATAAAATGACGTACTATAGCATCACAGCATGATGTAGCATAATATTCCGTATATAACATAACATACTGTAACACACTGAGGGGGAAGAGTGTCCTTGGGTTCCAAGACTGAACCCCCGAAATTGGCCCCTTGTAGATCTTGAACGCATGAGTCCCTTTAATGACAAGCAATATAATGTACTGTCACATAACTTAGAAACTAATGTAACATAGCAGACTGTAACGCAACATGAGATAATGTAACATACTGTAACGTACAGTAACATAACATTACATAACATACCAAGATAAAAATAACATGCCCATGTAATGTAACGTAACATAAGATTAAATCACATTATATAACCCACCAGTGTAACATATCATATCATAACTTCTAGATTGCACCTTTACACAATCTGTCCCCCCCTCCTGCCCCCCTCCCCCACAGTTGGTGGAGTCCGACACGAAGCATCATGGCGATAGACGGTGAGTACTGTGGTGTCCTGCGGGACTCGTGGGAAACTTTGAACGGGACGGACAGAGACCGTCGTGTGGGGACGACATACTGTCTCCACCCGGTCTGTTTTCATTCATATTGCTCTCATGTGTTCATGACAATGTGGCCGTGGTGCACCGCGGTGCTGGGACAGCAGCTAACTAGCTTCGCGGGGCTGGTGATGCAGGGATGCTCAGAGCTCTGAGCCGCCTGAGAGGATGCTGAGGCGGGCAGGAGGAACCACACGGTCCCGCTGCTCCGGTTGTCCCGATCACGCCTTAGATTCAAACACTCTTGGCGATGCAGTGATTGATTCATGAAATTGGTTGAAATGGAAAAATCACAACAGTGTCAACTACTGTGCTCTGCTACTGTTTAAGAACTAGATAACTTTGCGGATGAATGGAGATAAATATCGATTTCGAACAGTAACAGGTTGAGTTATAAATCACTACGCTGTTATTGTCTTTCTAAGGGTGCACGTGCAGTGCATGATCTGATTTAATGGTCACTGTAACAGATCATGTGTGTGATTAGTATGATCCACGTACAATGGCGGACATGTTGATGGACATGTGTCTCTTCGGGGTTTGAAAGTGACCGGGACACCGTCAAAGAGACGCAGTCAGTGAAGAGCAGGCGCGTGACCCGTCACAGTGCTCGTCGTGTCACGTGCAGCCAAGCGTGCAGCAGTGTTGATGCTGAGAGACACCTGAGGGGGGGGGGTAAAGAGGTAGAAAGAGAGACCTGAGAGAGAGACAGACAGAGAGAGACTTAGAGAAAGAGACAGAGGACGATAGATTGAGACGTAGAGAGAGAGAGACATAAAGAGAGAGACTGAGCGAGATAAAGAGACATAGAGACAGACAGAGCGAGATAGATAACCCTAATGCAAAAGTTCCCACAAATGTGTTTCAGTTGTCGTGTGATTTGCAGATTTGATTTGTCCACTTTTTCACAATCCAGCTCAGCTGTGGGTGTAACCCTGGTGTAACCCCTGGGCCCTCCTTCCCCTCCACTTCAAACAATCAATCCCATTTTATTGGTGTAGCCCATATTCACAAATCACAATTGGTCTCATTGGGCTTAACAAGGTGCAACATCATCTGTTCTTGACCCTCAACAACAGTAAGGAAAAAAAACGACCTAATAAAACCGTATTAACAGAGGACGTAAAACGTGTGAGGGATCCCTCTCGCGGGACGGACAGGAGTGCAATATATGCAGCATGTAACTGAGAACATCAACAAAACAACAGTATTTACAATATTGATTAGAAGAAACAGTTTGTAACATGATGCAAAAAAAACATTTTACGAAAAACAAGCTTCCCCTCTACTATATATAGCCGACTCATGAGCTCCGGATTTAAAAAAATCTGACTGTTACAAATTCAGTTATTTAAATCTTATGAAAGATGCATTAGAGCAATATCCACTTCATTTAGTGCTATATATTTAATTTATTACATTACTGGGCTTAATCACAGAGCTGACCTATATTACAGAGAACATCTTATTGATGCTATAGCGATGATTCAAGATGACTGACACTGCTTTCTTATTTATCAGGAAGTGTTTAACGTTTGTTATCCATGAATATGTTGAATGTTTCTATGTTTTAAAATAGACTAGTAGATTGATACCACCTTGTATCTGACTTTTAAAGCAACCCTGTTAAACTTTTACTGAGCAACAGCGCCCTCTGCAGCCAGACGTGTTGATTCACTGTGTTGGGCTCCAAAAAGTTGTGTAGTGTTGCTATAAACATGAAGCTGAAACCAGGAAATGGTTAGCTTAGCTTGTTTGTTGCTGAATTTTCCCAGCTTAGCCGTCGCGGCATCAACCTTCTCATCCAACTGCCAGAAAACAAAAATAAAAATAAACAATGTCAAGTCAGATCCTTACATTCCTCTTTTTCTCCAAACACATCACCCTAGTGGCAAATTTACATCAGCTGGATGTTCAAAATTACCCATGTAATTGTGTTTTTTTCCGGTTGGTTCCAGCTAATCAGTTTTAATGTTTGCTGACATGATGACCATCTGCTCGCTCCTCTTACCCGAGGCCTGAGCATATGTTTCTCCAGCCCATGAAATCATTTTTTAACCTCTGACTGCCAACTTTACACCTGTCTCTCTGTCCCAGGAGGGGGCCGAAACTGTGGTGTCCATGAGCTCATCTGTGCCAGAAGAGGTAAGGCCCCATTAGACCTCATCCCTGCACTCGAACGTCTCAGTAAGCATGAATTTCTGCTTATTTTTCCCGCCCGTGCATGACTCCGTTTGACCCAAAGCTCTTAACCTCCCTATTTCCTGTGAACCTTCCTTGAAGTTTGGTGCTGATACTCTACAAAGTTCCTCTATAGAGATCCCAGAAAGCATAATGTCTACGTGTGAATTATGCATGGCATATCAAGTTTTAGTTCACTTCAGCAAAAGTAGGCAGCTGTGTGTTCATGATTTATTCATCGTGGAGGTTTTGTTTCATATCAGCGCTCCATGTGTAAGCAACATTTCCAGATTGGCCACCTACTTCTTAAACAAGCTTATAAACAACAGCAGAGTTAAATATGCAGCGGTTCTAAACTGAAATAAAAAGTCATCACATGAATAAATTAATGCAGGTTAAAAGTCCTAACAAGGAACTAATGCGTAGTTTGTGTCCCATTTGTGTAGATATATGATGTAAAGACATTATTTGACAAATATTTTGTCGATACTCTCTGAGCTCATTATTCACTTGCTGTTTTTACATCGCATGCTTCTACAGTTTATTTGTCAGCTCTCTGGAGTCGTTACCTGTGAAAAAACAGAAAGATTGACTCCCGAGGCTCATTTCAAACAGTTCAGTGTCAGTTCATGAGCTGTGAAAACACATTTATTTAGTTTTGTTATTGTTATATTTTCTTGTTGATTCATTTCAGACTAACACAAATCGTACGAGCACACGCTCAGGGTGAAAGAGGGGAGTTAAAAGGCAGAGGAAGTGAAGGGGAGTAAAAAAAAATCCCACTTCACTAAGAGAAACATCAGATTTTTCCTAAGAATGACGGATGTTACATAAAAAATGACTGATCGTGGGTTTAGCTCCCCGAAAAGCCCGACTCGCTGCCACTCTACTTCCCAGCGTATGGAGGGGTCAGGTTACCTCAGGTGTCTAAATTATTCAGCTGTCGTTGACATTTACGGAGCAGGGCCGTGTATGAAGTGTCATCACTCTGCGGGGCACGGGGGCCGTAAGCGGATCATTTTTGACTGAAGGAGGCTGCGGCCGGCGCCTGTGGCTGCAGAGGTCATTCCGGCTCAATCGACCAGAAAGTCAGCAGCGAGAGTCGATACGTAAGCCTGGCAAGGGCTGGACGGGCACTTAGTGTGAGGGATTTATTACATGTCGGATTATTTCAGAGCAGAACAGCTTTGTTTTTGCAATAGTGCTTTTTGGGAGCAGCTGGTTTTGAATAAGATGTTCATGTAGAGAAGGTAAGCCTCTGCTGCCACATCGCTCTCTCTCTCATTTCTGTAGCTCTTCTCTTCCCATTCTTGGGAACGGAACATTGATCTTTTTGGCAGTCTGCAGCAAGCAGCCTTAGTTGACAGGCTGCAGTGGTCGCTGCCTGTTGCCATGGTGAAACAAGTCTGTCCATAATAAGTTCAGTCTGTAGTGAGGAGGACAAACTATGTTTTCTCCTCCTCTTGTCACCTGCTGCAAACCACATGCTGCAGTATAATATTTGGGCTGTTTCTGCTTCACCAGAGGCGTCATCCTCAAATGTACCGCAGCCAACGATTATTTTATCATTGATTGGTCGGCTGAATGTTTTTCTTCCTGGTTTTTTAACTCACGATGTTTCCTAAACCCAAGTTGATGTCTTCTAAAAGCTTATTTTGTCCAATTAACAACCAACCTATAATGAACAATAACGTCACATTAGAGGAAGATAAAAGGAAAATGTCACATTTTAGTTCATATAAAATAGGATTTTTATCAGAATAATTGATGAAACGTTTTTGTTACATGACTAATCAATTCAGCTGTACTTGTTTAAAAGTATCACAACCCAGAAAGAAGCCAAAGTATCGCCTTCAAGCTGAACATGAGACAAATGACGATGAATAATGTGAAAGTGATTCCTAGTTGTGACCACAGCCACAGAGAATTTTCACCTATTTAATATTTCTGACACAAATATATCAGCCAAGTACTGGGTTATAAAAATATTAGCAATGGTTCCTTTCATTATCAAATAAAGACAAAGATATTTTACGGTTTTACCATAAACTTTATTGTAAATAAAAAGAAAACACAAATAGATTTAAGTTTGATTTAAGAAAATAAATGTTTTTGATGTAAAATAAATACATAAATGCACATCTTTCCTGCATATTTTATTCTGTAAAATAAAAGTTTTCATATCAGCAAACATGGATAGATGATTTTTATTGACCAAACAAAACTCCGACCCCTCGTATGGCTCAACCTTTACTTTACAAGCTGCCCTTTCCACTGAGCCATTCGCTCTTTAGAAACACCGTTCATGCTTCGTTGTCCCCTCCTCTACATGTGCAGCTCTGTGGTGTGTCTCTGTTGCAGCCCATTAAGTGCAGGCCCTGGGCGTTCTCACTGGCTTTATACTGAGTTTCAGTCAGATTCGTTCCTTTTGAGGCCGTCGTAAAAATAGCACATCAGCAGCAGCGGTGGGCTGCGTGGTTACATGAAGTGTGCTTGGCCTACATACAGTGTTCGCTGTAGATTGTATCTGATGTGTCTTTGAAGTGGAAAAAACACTGCGTTGCTAATGTTGCTAAGGCAACATTTAGGGAGTTTGATTCCAAAGTAAGATGTCTATCATCAAACCAAATTATTTATGGAATCAAAGGAGAGTTGTTTACCTTAAAAGTATTTTTGTTCAAAATAGTCCTGCCACAAATCTCCATGATCAGTATTGCTTATGTTTTGTCTTTTGTCTAATTTCTTTTCAATGTCTCTTTTTCTGTCTGTCTTCCCTTCCCCGCCCCTCATCCCTCCTTCTTTATTTCTGTTCTTCTTCTCCTCCTCAGTCTCTCCTGAGCTTCTGGGTGTCCTGTCTTCCATTGCAGCCTTCATGGCGTTGATGGCTCTGTTTTTTCTTTACCTCAGCAACAAGCTGTCAGTGGGGAGTCCTGATGATCTGTCACAGCTCAGTGGTTATAAGAACACAAAGCCAGGTACTTAACACACTGTGGCTGCACCTACACACGCGTTAGGGTGATTACTGGTGAGATTCAGTCCTTAAAACCGAAACAAAATGTTGTTACATTAATTAAACACACAATTTATTGAATCCCCCTCAAGTTATTTGATTTATTCACACAACGGAACATGATAGAAAACCCTGTGCTAGATTATTTATATTTATAATCTTTACCACATTCATGTGCATGTATGTGATAGTCTGAGCACACAGTGTGACGCTGGCGCCACACGCTGCTAACAACCACATGTCCGTGTCAGTGCCTCTAATGAGCTAATCTAGCGGTCAGCGTGGTGACGAGATCCCCGGCTGAGAGATGGCCTTCTTCAAGAGTTTCCAGCAGAACCTCCCATCTGTTAACATCTCCTCCATCTTGGACTCGGTCACCAGTCGCGTGGACGACTTGGCCAACGCTGTCAGCGATGCCACCTACGCCGTCAGCGACCAGCTCTCCGAGCAGGTCACCACTGTCATCAAGAAGGTGCACGAGGAGGAAGACGGGGAAAGCACCGGCGGAGGGCAGGGGACTACTCAGACGTCCACCGCACAGGAAGGGAAGGGCGGTGGGAAAAGCATATGGCAAATGACCAGAGACGTTGAAACAAGCAGCACGGCTTCAAAAAACAGTGATTCAGCGGAGGCCGAGCGCACACAGAGCCAGCTGGAGTGGGAATGGAGGGATGGCTGCTGGCGCGTTAAAAAGACGGAAGCTGAGTTGGCAGAGGAAGAGAGGAAGAAGAAAGAGGAGAAGGAACTGCAGGAGAAGAGAGAGCAGAGGAGGAGAGAGAGGAGGGAGAAGCAGCTAGAGAAAGAGGCTCAGAGAAAGAAAGAGGAAGAGCAAGAGGGAGAGGGAGAGGAAGAAGCTGATGAGAAAACAGATGAGGGTCTTGCACAAGGCAGAAAGATGAGTGAGAGCGAAGACCAATCAGCTGCTCAGCAGGGGGGTGAAGACTGTGATGAGGCTCCTCATTCACCTGAAACTGAAAGCAGGGCGAAAGAGAAAAAGTCAAAAGAGGAGGGAGAAGAGGAGGAAGAGGTGGAGAACAGTGTGGAGAGAGAGGGGGACGATGAGGAAGAGGCTGAGCTTCCTGTGCCTCCGTCAACGGTAAAGAAGAAAAAGTCAGACAAGAAGAAGAAAAAGGGAAAAGACGCAAAAGAGGATTCAAAGAATCCAGGAAAAGCCTCAGATGTGGCCAAAAAGAAGGAGAAAGGAAAGAAGAGCAAGAAGAAAAAGAAAGGCAACCAAGGTCAGAGGGTGTGCCGCTTCTCTTTCACCACCACTCTTTGGATTTCTTCTCCTCTTGTTGTTAAATCTGAAGCTTTGATCCTTAAACTAAAAGTCTCAGCATCTGTCGCTCAGCTCTCGTGCTCCTGGTCTCTTCAGGCCTCACACATACAATGGTTTTGCAACATGAATGTAAAGTTTGAACCGGAGCGTCTGTGTGCTGTGTGCAGAGGGAGTGTTATCAGACAGCGAGGAGGACAGAGGCCTGGAGGCGACGGCCCAGCAGAACACAACATCTGCGTGGAGCAGCGAACACAAACAGCCCACTGAGCAGGGAGGATACAGCAGCGAGGCCTCCAGCGAGCACGGTGAGAGTATGAACATGGACTGGACTCATTTGTGTGTTGTGTACAGACTAAAACGTGATGATGTACAAAACCTGAACTTCCATAGTGAAGATGGACGACCTGTGTCTGTCACGATGTTAACGCGTCTCTGACAGTACGTTGCATATGTAATGAGTATCTCTGCAGAGCACCGTGTGTCTCCAGTGACTCTTCATCCATATCACATTACTTCTTCTGTTTCAGCCAACAGCATCCAGAGGATCAAGAAGGATTCCTCTCTCAACGAGCTCCAGCCTCCTCCGTACCAGGACAAGGCCTCGGCTCCCCGCGTGTCCTCTCGCTCGGAGCGAGGTGTTCGGAGGGGGTCGTCCCCGCAGCGCTGTGACAGCCCCCGCGGCTCCAGTGAGGCCAGTGTGGACCAGGACACTGAGAGCTACCTCAACAAAGGCTGTGAGGAGGATATACCCAGTGACAGCACAGCTGTTCTGGGACCTGAGGTAAGATCAGAGTTGCAGAATGTTTTTGTTTTTGTCAAGCACAAACAGATCAATTCACATTCACGCCTCTTTTAAACTCGTCCTTTCCTCCCTCCAGGATGGCTGTGGTCTCCAGCTCCCCACGGCCTACGAGCCAGAGCCCCTTGCCAAATACGGAACGCTGGACGTCGCCTTCGAGTACGACTCCAGTGAGCAGTGGTTGGCCGTCACGGTCACCGCGGCAACAGACATCCCTGCCCTCAAACAGACGGGGAACATCTCGTGGCAGGTCCACCTGGTGCTGCTGCCAACCAAGAAACAACGGGCCAAGACCGGCGTACAGAAGGGCCCGTGTCCCATCTTCACAGAAACATTCAAGTTCTCCAGAGTGGAACAGGAGGCGCTGGGGGACTACGCCGTCCGCTTCCGCCTGTACAGCATCAGGCGGATGAAAAAAGAGAAGGTCCTGGGAGAGAAGGTGTTCTACCTGACTAAGCTCAACCTTCAGGGCAAGATCGCTCTTCCTGTCACGCTGGAGCCCGGCTCTGAACTCGCTGTGAGAACACTTTGTGAATTCATATTTTGCACAATGCGCAGTTTTGATCAGACAAACTCAACTCTAGTCCAAAAGCTGTTCAGCTCACGTGGCTGAAAAGTTCTTTATGGAAGACGGTGACCTGATTTAATTCTAATTCTTCACTTATGACTCTGAAACATGGGGGACATTGTGCTTTGTCTCGCAGGGTTGCGGCTCTGTGGTGAGCGTGTCCCGCAGCGCAGGAGCTCTGACCTACCGCTCCACCGAAGACTCGTCCCTGCCCGAGATCCTCCTGGGTCTCATCTACAACTCTGCCACGGGACGGTTATCTGCTGAGGTCATCCAGGGAAGCCACTTCAAAACCACAGCGTCCGATAAGCCCGTCAGTAAGTGCACAAGCTCAACCAAGGTGCTGTGCGAATGAGTGCATTTCCTGTTCAGTGAAATTTCTCCTCTGTAATGTCTCGGACTTTCATGGGGTTTGATGATCAGGCAATTGTTCTGGCAAAGTAACACAAACCAATCAAATTGAAATGTTTCCTGACAACTTGAAATAACCACAATGCCAAAGCACTCGCTGCTGGTCAGAGTTTCCTATGAAAGAACAACTTTCTGGTGTGTATCGCAATCTTCCATCTGCTGGATCTGACTGCTACCTCTCTTTCTTCTTCCCAACCTTGTGTGTGTGTGTCACAGATGGTCTGTTTTGTTGTATAAAACACTTTGTAGGGGGACAGCTTTATATCATGAGAGGTAAGTCAACCATGAGTTTCTTTTAATCTTTGGATATTAAACTTATACATATATTTTAGCCTAAAACGCCTCATAATTCTGGTTCTATTCCTGCGGAAATAAGGACTAAAACACTCCTGGTACTAAATCCTCAAAGTATGTGACTATAATAACATTACATTAAAGGAGACATGAATTGAGTTTTATTTTCTCTTTTTTTAATGTACAAGTTCTACAAAGGTCTGTGGTAAAGGGGGTTTTGTAACATGGCCTCTCTGAGAAAATCACCAGGAAATCAAACCTCAGTTTTTCTCATTCTTCCCAGTACCCATGTCCCACCACTTGATGGCACTCTCTCACTGCTCTCCCACTTCCTCCTCCCCCCTCAGACACCTATGTGAAGCTGACCATGCTGGACTCCAAGGGGAAGGAGATGTCCAAGTGCAAGACGGCCGTGTGCCGCGGGCAGCCCAACCCCACCTACAAGGAGACGTTCATGTTCCAGGTGGCGCTCTTCCAGCTGTCCGAGGTGTCCCTGGTGGTGTCGGTGTTCTGCCGCCGCAGCAGCATGAAGCCCAGGGAGAGGCTGGGCTGCGTGTCCCTGGGCCTCAACAGCACCGGCGAGGAGCAGCAGGCCCACTGGACGGAGATGAAGGACGCAGAGGGCCAGCAGGTCTGCCACTGGCACACGCTCAGTGACACATAGGACGGAGATTTACAAAGACTCATTTTGACAGCATTCCCTGGACGCTCAGAGCTGGAGGCAGAGCTGCAGGCACCGTGTGAGACGTGTGTGTGTGTGTGTGTGTGTGTGTGTGTGTGTGAGGACAGGCTTGGGCTCCTATCTTCACTGCCAGAGACGAGTACCCTTTAATCTGCCACTTCCCTCTAAGGCAGACTCCCTGACTGTACAAGTGATGGTGTCAACTCCAGCTCCGGCCTCTTTATTGACAGGAACAAACTAGAAATGACTTCATAACAACCGAACTAACCAAGAGCAGACGTTTTCCACTGACTCGAGCTGAATCTGCATGTACTCACTGTTTACAGGACAATGTTGTTACAAAAACATTTTTCCGTCTGTGAAACTTGGACCAAAGAGCTCGATCCAGGACGAACAAACGACATCTCTGGACTTCAGCTGCCACCAGCATACCAGACATTTCTCTAGCAGTCGCAGCCATTGACAAAAAGAGAATGCAAAGACTGTTACTAAAGGCCTACTACATGCTGCAGCTATGCCCCCAAGCTATGCTTTCAACCGTTTGTTTACATGCACATGACATTATGCAAGATCCATTCATCTGTGTTCCCCCGTTTTTATGTTTTTGGATGATCAGTCAAAGCGTTTACCAGTTGTTGGGGGTATGTGTTAGTCAAAGACAGATTTTTTTTCAGCGTGGTCTTGCATAACTCTGTACACTATGCATCTGACGCCACTTTAAACGAGACGACCGAAAGTCCGGTCTAGTGCTCGCTGAGTCCGACGGGATTGGACGCAGCAGCCCTGCATGCCACCGGTATCAAAGAGCAGCTTGCTTTCCTGTGAAATACAGATTGAGCCTGTTTTACCATGCAGCCTTCTGACAACTCAGCCATGTTCATTCATGTAGAAACACGGTGCTTCCCGCTGAGGAGGACTATGCAAAAGCCTGCGCAGTCCAATAAAGCCGACAGTTTCTCTGAGGCTGTGCTGGTGACAGCCTCAGCCGCGCTCCCTATGAAGTGGGAAGAATTCAAATACAGGAAAGGGTAAATCGTATTTGCTCATCATTATAAGACTTAATCAAACGAGAATGAACGCTGAGAAATCTGCGCTTTCACCTGGAACAAAGTGTCGGCATCAAATAAAAGCTATGAACCCCCTCCCCTTAAAAAGACGGCACCACCGCACCCACCAGTAAAAATCGAACCCTCTCCCCTCCTGAAGCTGAGGAGAGTAGGATGCACTCTTCTTTCTCTTTACCCCTGTGATGTCACATTTCAACCCATCATCTGGGTTAGATGCTGCAGCTCGTCCCTTCAGTCCTCTGATTCATCATGAGAGTATTTCAAAAGATTTGATGAAAACCAGATTTCTATCATTCCTGCTACATAAACAATTGGCTCAACAGGGAATAACAGCCACTGGGGGGGGCTTCTAACACAAGCTGGGCTCGGGTAAGTTTTGCTCTCAGCACAGTTTGTGCATAAACCAGCCTTTAAAAGCATTAAATTATGAGATTAAGGATGAAGAGGGGAAGCAGAAGCTACCAGTCTTGTTGTCACTTCGAGTCTCCAGAGATTTACGGCTGAAACACAATCCCCCTCGTAAAAACCACACATTTTTACGTCCCCCTTTTTTTCCTCCTTGAGATAAACGAGATGTAATGTGTTAATAATTGAGCTTCAGAGGTGCAGCTCAGGCAGATTTTATTAACTGTGGACAGAACCTCACTTTGAGCTGCGTATTCAATGGATTCATATCCTTTAAAATATTACGTGCATTCCAAGGTTGAATCTAACTGAATAAAAGGTGCAGCGTGTGTCATTCAGCTCCACAGCAGCATGCCATTCAAACAGGAAGGTAGTTTTATATATGTTCTGAGTATGTGGGTGAGTACTAATGGTTCTCAGTACTATTCATGTACTAAATGATACATATGAAATGCAGTAGTTTTGTGTAGAGACAGTAAAATCCACCAACAGAACCTCTGACCCTCACAAACGAACACGTCTGAACATGGGAACGAGAAGAGTATATCTGTCTTCCATTTCATTTGTAATTACCATCTACGCACGTTTGCCGCCCGCACTTATCAGCATGGTACTAAAGTCTCAATTCTATGCTTCTATCGTCTTCCAACATTACTTCCATTTCAGCTAATTTCCTATTTTTCATCCCTATTTATATATTTATACATCATATCAATTTTTCTTATGAACTATTCCTGGAGACTTAAAGATTGTAAGCAAAATAAAATGGGCGTTTAAAAGAAATGATGTACTGTGTGTTCTAACAGAAAATCATAACACAGAATAAACGAAGGGTTTTTATTTCCGATTGGCTGATTCCCTCTGAGTGAAAGTGTGATGAATCATGTGACGACTCAAGTGTTGCTCTTTGAAGTTGATTTAACACACACAAATAAAGTTTCTCACGCCCATCCAACCACTTAGAGCACTTTGTTCTTAGAAGTTTAAATAAAGTTCCCTCAATGTTCCCATTTTGATACAAATCCAGGAATGTGCTCATGACAGAAGAATTAGGACAAAAGTCGGATAAAGTTTTTAACAATGTTGAGTGTTTTTATTTCCATTCATCTGGCCTTCAATGGTTTGTCGTGACGCCGTAGCCAATCTGGTTCGGCGTGAGCAGCGTTGCAGGTCGCCGGAGTCCCCGCCCACAGTGGTGGAGCACATGATAGTTCCACCTTCCTGCTTCAGGCCGCGGAAAACCAGCTGTGCCAAAGATCCTGGAGGGGAGAAGGGTGGTGGGAGAGGAATGGACAAGGCTTTTTTTTTTTTCACCTTCCACAATACCAGCTGACCCAAACTGTGCCCCGAGGACAGGTTTAGAGCCGGCCAAGAAATTATGAGGCCCCTCGAGCTCCAATTAAAAATCTGTTGGGATGTGACTGAGTTTATAAGTTGGTTTTTCCAAATCTGGTGCAGCAACATAAAGTGTAAATTTGGATTTGTTTTTGTTGCCGTGTTGCCAACTTAAACCACAGCAATTAGGAAACAGGCTCTTGATTTTATCCCTCGCAGAAAAATATTTCCATGTGAATGTGTTTGTATTTAACCTGGGGGGGG